GTCACGAGAAACAGCGTCTACATATATCAAACGAAGATAACGCGCTATGGTTTGAATTTGTTCTAATACTTTAGTCAACACAGCTGGCCTATTTTTTTGTCCACAGTATTTTTTCCACATAGTTGTTTAGCAGGCAGACCGGACGTGGCGATAGAAGTTAGCTACGATATTTGAAGAATGAGAATAATGTATCATCATTTTTTCCACGTTCTAGCAGCGGCCCGATCGAGTAGCGCGTGTTGACATCTCATTTTGGCCAGTTTGAGACGGTTGGTAGTCTCGTGATGGAACTTGCAATACGTTGAATTTCAGTGTCTCGACTGATGTCGCGCGGTGAGGTGCATTGCATAAACTGTACTCTTGTCATCGAACTGAAAGCTGTGTCTAGCATCTGCTGCAATCTTTCATTATTCCATCGATGCCTTAGAAGTTATTTTGAACGTCTTCGCGAATGTGGTGGAGACACTTGCGCAGTTGCGTTTGAGACTGACTGACTTTTTCGATGTGTACCTGCAATGCTTTGCTGTTGGACTAGGCAAGGCGATCTGGTGGCGAGGTAGTTGGCTTACCACGTAGAATACAAGAATGTAATAGTGATTTCCCTAACGATATATCAATCTGCCTTGGGTAAAAGCGCAACGTGGTCTTTTCGGCAAGTCAAATCATATCGTGTCTTAATTTACACTTGAAACTGTGAGTCGAGTATGCCATAGTAGCAAATATTGCACTGTCGTCGTACATTTAGCGTGCAACAGGTGAAATGGACACGTCAGCGCTCACCTCATCGCGTATCCGTTCTGGCTTGAGAATATCGTCCTAAATACTTTCTTGTCAGAGTTTCAGACTTGGTCGCTATAAGTGAGTAGTATAACAGATCTTGAAACGTCGTAGATCCTTATTGGTCATAGCTTCCAATCAGTAGCCCGTACATCTGCAAACTTAACGTGGCATCGCTGTGCGCAGTTTCTCATCAAGTACCACCACTATCGCTTTCCATACCGCACTTGATACCCGAAGATGCAGACGTTCTGTCGCTGTGTTGCTGCTTTTGTGCTATACCAAGCTCGAGATGGTTTTAGCGCAACGAAAAGTGGAACTCGGGGCGACTTGATGTCTCTCGTGAGCTCCAGATTGACAGTCACCATCATGATAATATGTTGAGGGCCCGCTTGATGCGCCGAAGTAGACTAAGCTGGTATATCTTCTTAGATCAATAGGTTTGGTTCAAGTGGATAAGCAGGTTCGGTAGCTGCTACAGTAAATATAAACCAGCCAGAAAAAATAAACTGCTAGCAAAACAAGCTTCCTGACTTGCTTGCATTGCCTAATGAGCTTATGCACGGTTATGCAAGTAGAAATAACGTATCTTGACACAAAGAAGAGGAACCTACGAGGTAGCTAGCCTAATGCTATCTTTTCCCTTTGCATTGGAACATATTGCTACAGAGTACAAGTTCATTGTAATTAGAAGGAAAGGTCAAGAAGAACGTGAGATAGAGGCTGGTGTACCATGTCACGCGCACAACGACGTGCAAGCTCGTGTGGCGGTCGCAAAAGATTCTCCAGTTATCGCGTGATGGCACACATGCTACGACACGATAGATGCAGCCCTATATGTACTTCTTGTTGCTGGGACTGGCTATTCGTCATACGACTGCTTGAATAGATATCTTCTGATTAACTTGATATCCAGCCTAAGAACCTAATGATGCGAACGCGAACAAACTTACCAAAGAGATGTTTAATCAGCCTTCTCACTACAGCGGGTGCTTTTGGTAACAAAGATCACGGAAAAAGAGAAAGCAAATGCTTGGTATTGTGGTGCCACTTGCTTGTGCAAGAAGCGTACAAAATATCTTTAGGCAAGACATCGTCTTCCAACTAGATTGAAGAAAAGAAGATTAATGGAAAGAAAATGTGGCAACAATAGACGGACAACCAGAGAAAGCGAAATATAGAGAAGCTGACTGTGAAGGAGGTTGCAGCAGAGATTATATTGGTGGAAAATGAACGGCAAGAAGTATAGTACAAGCTGTAAGGCATTCACCTCAATGTGTCTGCAAAGAAATGCCATTGCATGGTCACTATTAAGGTCCTTTCCGTGGTCGTGTTTAGAGCTGTCATTGCTTTGTTTAACTATTATTGCATGTCTGATATCTTCTGCGTGCTGAAGTGGTCAATAGGCTATGTCAGCTGTCCTTTGGCCGCAGTAAAGATTCATTCAACGTGCATGTATGTGCCCAAAATACATATTTCTCGCTCACTTAGAATGATTGACTCGACAGGTAACTAGACAAACTTGACCTGTCAACTTAATTATGTTTCCAGCGTCAGACCTTTGAATCCCATTCCATTGATCTAAAGATACTTCACTTGTTGTGCTAAGCCTCTTTAGGATTAAAGAGCTTTGGCATCTGCTGCCAACACTTCCAGTAGTCACCGTCATTGTGGTCGCAGTGAAGTGCGTAGTCCGTTAGCTTGACTAGGTACGTCGTCTCAAACATAAATGCGAGACCAGCATCAGTCTTCTCAGGTTTGAGCTGTGCGTTAATAGCAGAGAGGAAAGTAGTTGCATCTGGCCCGTGTGGTGTAGCGACGCTATGAAGAGAAGCACCACCCGGAGCAAAACCATCTTTACCTCCTATCTTGGCGTCGTATGTGCCGTCAATCATGCCCATGTATTCGCTCATGCAGTTGCGGTGGAAATAAGGTGGACGAAACGTGTGTTCTTGAACCTAAGCATTGTGGCGTTAGAGAGTAGTACAACAGTACAGGGTGTCACCTCACATACCATCCATCTCGGCGGGAAAATGACGAAATCTGCAACTGCATTGCCTGCTTCTTCTGTTTGGCATGTAAGCACACAGTAAATGGAGGGATCCTATCGCCACAAAATTAGTACGCGAAGAGCAAAGCTTAGAAAAAGTAAATGTGACAGGATCAGAACAAATTCATACGTTGTCGTACCGGGTGGTCATAGTTGACCGAGTTCATCGTGCAGAATTTGTCCAGGTTGTACTTGTACGGAACATAATTCCCATGCCAGGCGACAACATTAAACGGCGAAAACGCCATACAAGCTGAAAACATTTGGCCACCAAACTGTTGACAATCACTTGAGTAAGTTGCAAAGTATCCGTGTAGTTTCAAGCGCCTCTGGTTGCTCACCTTGTTGATTACCAAGTACTCACAGTCACGGTCCTCGTAGGCAGCGCTTGGGTGCTCAAAGTCCCGCGGATTGGCGAGTCCATTGGCACCAATTGAACCAAGATCAGGTAGAATAAAGTGACGATTGTAAACCTCTAAGATGTAGCCGCGAGAAGGTTCGTCTAGTTCAACCGAAAAGCGAATTCCGCGCTAAAGATGCAAAACAGTAACGTTATGGTCAATCAGGTCTTCGAAATTTCTATCATCCTTACTAAAGTTACACCTGTATCACGCAGATCTCGTGCGGTAAGACCTTGAGTCGTCCAAACTCGGTCGTAATTTTAAGCACACCAACTTGTGGAACTGCCACACCGCAAGTAAATTGGATCAAAACTGGTCAATGTACCCTCAATACTTTACATTCACTCTCGACTCTTGCAACGTACCAATCAAAAAGTCTCCATCCGAGTTGTAAAAGCATTTGTCTTTCATGGATTTATTGGCTGTATACATATGAATCGCCATTCCTGCTTTCATTGTTGGATCTCCAGCACCACCTACTTCCAGTCAAGTCAATTGTATTTTCCATTGATAACAAATCAACCACAAAATTCTTACCAATTGTATAAAGTCCGTCAATAAAGTCCACTTTTTCCGACTTAATTGGAAATGGCATGGGTTTCCATCGTATTTGCTCTGGTGTTAAGTTTTCCCGTGTAAAATCTGCTTTAATGAATGGAGATTCGACTTTTTGATACTTTTCATGTACTACAGAAGGTAAAATCCGGTAGAACCAACTGTAGTAGGTAATTTAGATCAGTTTAGATGCACAAAACAAAGTACTGACTTGATTACGCAATAGTAATCACATTAAAATTTACCTGCGTTGATTACTCGATCGTGACAATGTAAATGCCGTTCCAGAGAGCTGTTCGGCGTATAAACCGTATGGACACTAGCAGTATGTATACCGGTATTTAGCAAATTCCATTGCATTTTTAGGATCATAGATCATAGAATAAAAGAGTCAAATAACCTTTTGCGGATTGTTTTGCCCCTTCGGAAGTGCATCAGGTAGGGCTTCAGAGCAAAAGGTGTTACCAAAGCCTGATAAATATGATAGTGAGTCCCACATTGTGTCGGTCATAGTAGATTTTAGTTTGTTTCAAGACAATTTCAAAGAAGTGGAATGCAAATGCAATATTCGTCGTAGTGTGGGTCTGTGTAAAATACTCAGCGAATTAACAGAGCAATGCAAATAGTAAGACTGGTTAATTATGAGGTGGAGGCGTAGAGGGAGGAAGGCAATGGCTTTTTTTCTGACGAATTAAGAGGCGTCTGATATTGAGGTTTAGACGCTTTTCTACGGGTAGTTGTACAATACCGGTACTTGACCGAACGATGATATAGCTTTAGGAAATAAGACTAAGAACCGGTTTGGTACATCGTTTGATATCTTTTTCGGTAAATTCGTCAAAATCTCTGACTAATAAAGTTCGATCCTAATTTAGAGGAACGATCACATGCCACTTTTTAGTGCGCTTAATCTCTTCCAATTCCCTAACGAGGTTCGTCGTGGGCTAATAAACAGTAAATCTTCTCTGTCAAGTGCCAACTTACTAGTTCTTTCTCTCTCTTTCACTCATTGTAAGTCGCAACGCTTTAAAGTAAGCGGACAGCATACAGTTTTCCACACATCCACAACTATTAGCAGTCAAACATGAATGAAAAATCTTGTGACCAAAAAGTGTAGCCACTCGTATTGTTTATTACCCATACAGATCTCGTTCCTAAGTTGATTGCCTAATCCTGCCATGACACACAAGTGTGAGAACATAATCTTTTGGTAAATTCACAAAATCATAGACTTACCATCAATTCAGGATAAAGCTCGGCAACGATACAATCAAAATCGTCACATTCCGTAGGTACTGCCAAACTTGTCCACACATTTTTCAAAGCTTCTACCTCGTTGTCATCTTCATCTCCATCTACGATGACTTCATCGTCCGGGGTATGGTTTAAGCATAAAGACTTTCGCCGAGACCGTGGGCGTTCACTATGATAACCCACGCTGGATCGATCAATATCAGCGCGTGTTCGACGGCGCTTAAAGTTCCCGTCAGAAGTGATTGCTGCTTGAGTAGATGAGCGTTTAGCCGCACGGATAGAGCGATCTCTCACTACAGTACGCGGACCGCTTCTTACCCGGCTTCGTGAGCTGCGTGGCGACGCTTGCGGTGCTTTAGCACGACGGGAAAAGTCAGTCAGCGTTTCTCCCGTCAGGTCGTGATAAATCTCCTTCATCTGTGCGGTCGGACGCTTTTTCAAAATCACTTCGATCGATGCTTCCATGAGCGGTAGCTTGCAAAAATTAAGCAAACGTTTCTGCTGGCGATCTCGTTGGCGAGACATTTCTAGCAGCAGTCTTCCACGCTCAAGCGAGCGACGAAGGTCTTGCAGTTGGCCTAGTATTTCATGGGTGATCCAAGATTGGCGGGTTTCATCGAAAGCCGCGCCAGGTGGAGGGTGAGCCTCACAGTAGAATTTCCACTCGGTGCGATGTAGTCGAGCGCAATACAACTTCTTTTGTGCCGCACATATTGGGTGAAATTGACGATGACACTGAGCACAGTTCGCAAGTATCCCCTCCTTCTTATCGCAAAGCTCGCATCGTGTTGCCATGCCATCAGACTTCACGCTAGGAGCGTAGGCACAGAGTATGTGATGTCTCCTGACCGTTCTGGTCTTTTGCCACTTGCCACAGTACACATGAATCCATCTGGTCAAAGAAGGATGATATGTTCCATTACTGTCTTTTCCCTGTGGAGTGTGCTTGCTGCTGTCAAAATTGATCGATCCTTGCTGTTTTCGCTGCATATTCTGGTGTGCTTGCAGCCAAAGTTGCTGGCCGCCACCCGGGGTTGGGCAAGGTAACGTTAGCGCTGATTTTGAGTCCAAAAGCGCTTGCACGTTCAGCTGATCCGTTGAGACAGGCGGATCGACGCAAGGCATCATATAATCGGTTGCCTTAGCACATACAACACACTCAGGTGCCTCCTTCCCGCCTGCTTGCGTACACCGCTCACAGATCCAGTTACTTCTAAATATCGTAGCGGATGACCCAATGTCCGAAATACAGCAATCAGGGTGAATATAAACATTGCAGTACTGGCAACGTATCATGAACTGCCTCCGATGTAGCAAATTTGTGTCCATCAGATCCCCTACAATGGGCGAACAATACTCGAAACACGCTGAGCAAACCGTCATGTCGGTCCAATCCGTCATATTGGGGTCATCTTTCGTAGCAGTTATCTTGCTCTCAACTGAAAGCACTGCTTGAACAATCGATCCAGACAACAAGGAAGACTCATCATCTGGCTGTTTCTTCGCACGATTGCTGTAATTTTCCTTGTGTCGCATGACGAAGAAGGAATCAATCCGAAACCGCGCTCGCCGACGTCGCTGGGCTAGCTGATCCGATACAGCATAATTTCCAGGCAAATGACTCGAGCAGAAAAGCTGAAACTTAAGCCCAGCTCCGCCACCGGCATACAGGTATCGGTCATTTCCAAGTGATACGGTCATGGGCAAGCCATCAAACCATCCGCACAGGGGATGGAAAGACGTCGAACACCCTGGATGGCAACACTGGATCGTACGACCACAAGCGACTCTGCAGTGCACGCACAGACTGCCCAATTCAATTGCAGGAACGTCCCATTGCTCGTCAGCTTTTGGAGTTGCATGTTGGTTACCCGAAGCTAGCTTCGTGCGCATACTAACTTCGTCCACTGAGTTCATAAATCGTACTTGATTTGAAGTACCTACCAAATTAATATCCGAAAGATTGGACAAGTTGCCAATCCACACTTTCGGACACCATAACGCACACATTACGTGAACCCACTTCCCGTCAATAGTGCGTTTAAATGCACCGTCACTCAAAGAGCAAAGCTGGCAAAAAACATCCCTTGCCGGGTCCAGCCCTTCACGCGTGACTAAACAACGATCACAAATAAATTCATTGCTAGGAACCTTAGCCATTCCGTAACAGCGCTGATGAACTGCGAGCTCACAACGATCACAGAAAATAATCGGATTTGCTTCTGGTGACTGGCCGTCAAAGCACACGACGCAGGTACCATCATCAATTGCAGCGTCTTCATGTTCCGTCACATTCTCTTGTTTTTCACTTTCAGTTGTCGTCTCGTTATCGATTTCAAGTTGGTCAACAGAACTGTAACCGACTAATAAGCTTAAGCATAGCCTCTTCCAAGCTGCAAATTCGCGATAGTACAAGTCAGTAATCTGTGCCGACAGCCAAAAATTGTTATTGGCACTCTCATTTCCTTGCAACTTCTTGTAAAGCGTACGAATACGATAGCGGTTTTGTTTCATCGCATCTTTGAAATGCTCTATAAGAAGATTAATAGCTGGTGTTAAGCCATCCGTCAGTGCGATGTCACCGAGAAGCGTTACAATAGGCGCTACTTGCGAGATACTCTCCCGCGGTTTTTCAACCAAGGCCTCCTGAACTTGGCTGCAAGCAGTGAGTGATATCAGCAACTTATCTTCCTTTGCCAAAGGCACTTTGTTTGTCTGCATGTCGAATCCGACCAAAGTGGACAAAGCGTCATGCTGGAAAGTGCTCGCAAACGTCCCATTATCCGCGGCCAGCTGACTCATAGTGCCTTCCCTCACAACGCGCATGGAATATCTGCAATCAACTGCTGTGTTCTCCCCATTTTTTAACAGCACAGCTATATCGACTTCGGAACCGTCTTGAACGTGTTTAAACTCCAAATCAACACCCTGTCTGGTAACTAGCCTCCCGCACTCGGGATTATGGCAAATCTCAATCCATGGCTTGGCAGCGGGATCGCTTGGGCAACGACAATGACTTGCTCGCATAAAAAAGTCGCACTTGTGAGCAGACGCTGAGAGCAACAAAGGCTGTTTTGGGTCTTCCATATTTCGTTCCAATCGAATCGTATCGCGACAATGGATATCGGACATTTGCAAAGGCCGTCGATGCGAGGCTTTCATAACATCCTCTAATTTCAAACCGCATAAACTTTTTGACATAAGTTCCGTGCGCTTCTTCTCGAGCAAACTACTGCTGAAAAAATGGTTTTCGACAATTTTCCAAAAGTATGTCGAATCCATTGGAGCTCCACTATTCTGTCCTGGCCAAGAGGCAAACAATACATCCGTCAAATCTGCAGTCTCAGCATCGCCTTTGACGCCTGCGGAACAATTCCTCGGTGACATCATGTTCCTGCGTTTTACCGCGTGGCGGCTCTTAGGACAGCTATTTCTCAAGTGTCCCATCATCAAGGTCTGTCGCACTGTTTCACCACACTCCGGACACGCCCGCATTGGTGTCGCTTGCCGTTGATACTTGCCATTCATTGGCTTGCTCTTACTGCGTGTCTTGCGGCTTGCTTTCTTCAAAAACGACTCATCGTTTTTCTTGTACGAGATTTCGGTCGGTTTCAGTCCAAGCTTGTGCAGCTCCTGTTTTCTCTTTTGGGCATCTTGCCTGGCCAAGTACCCAAGTAAACACTGCGTCTCATGTCCTTCTTTATTCGCCATACTCACTTTGTTACTGCAAAAGCGACATTTCGTATCGCTTGTAGCTGGATGCACCTCGACAAATTTCTGCACCTCAGGAAATTTCCACCACGATTGATCCACCATTTCATACTTTGCCGTCGAGACGTCGGACAAATGCGTTTTGCAATGATAGACCTGTTGATTGTCAATATTATATCCAGTAAAGATCATATTCGATGGAGATCGAAATGCACAAAGCACATGAAAAGCTTTGGCGCAGCGGCCACTGACACATTGAATGCAACCGCCACGGAGTCCACAGACTAAACAACGGAGGGAACTACGACTTTTGTCCAATAACGAAATGTCCACAACTTCATCCATGGTTCCTACTAGACTACGATTAAGCTCTGGGATCCAATTCATACACAATACATGACACCAGACATTCTGTTGATTCGTAAGTCGCAATGCTCCACCTGCAATAGGACAAACAGCACATTGTGGTGATAGACGAGATGATGTAGCCAAGTGATTTTGATTGGTATTTATGTATTCACAAGCTTGACACCTCCACGTTGATACGTCATTGATTACTAAACTTTTACCATAACATTTTACATGGACATGAATGCTACAGGATGTACATTGAACAAGAAGTGTCCCTTGATAATCTTCTCGTTCCATACAGATACAACAGACATTGGATCGAAATGGAGTGGATAATAATAATGATGATGATGATGATGATGATGGTGTTGATTGCTGTTGTTGTTGCTGTCGTTGTTGTGTTTGTAGAAAAGTAGTAGGAAGAGACATGGACTTAGTCAGTCAACGAATGAATCAATAGAAATGCTACTCTTGATATATTTCTAGTATGAGCTTAATGTGACCGAGAGTTATTCGTGTAGAAAGATGGTACTTAAGTATTACATAAATAGATGACATATTCGGCTTAAGTACGATTAAAGAGGTTTTTAGCTGTAGTGAAATTTGATCAATCGAGTGAGTTCTTCCAAAATATCAGGAAAAGAATGTAGATTTTTCGTTAACGCTTGTCGTGGTGAAAAGATGATATGTGTAGCATGATTAAATCGTGATACACCCTCGTATGCTTTCTATGCTTTTTTGATACTATATAGCTTCCATGTGGTATTGTATGAGATGATGCTGCGATTGCAAATGGACGACTACCGGTATATGTACCGGTACTAGAAATGTTGATACTTTTTGAATAGTTCATTATAACATTACGATTGGACTACAATGTAAAAGTTTTTCCTAGAAAAACAAACAAATGTCATTTATGCATTTGTATGTATGGTACCAAAGAATGGTTGCATAAAGTCATTAATGATTGCTGGCTACTCTGTATCAGACAATAGTACATCGTGAGTGATGTGATACAATACGATCAGGCTGATATGGTGCTCGATATCATTAGAATTCTTTTCCAAGAATCATGAATAACGTTTTCAGGTACGCGTCGTTAAAAAATTTGCCCTGAGATTTGAAATATTTATCGAACTCTGGATAGCTTGCTTGCTTTGACACCTTGTTGCGCAAAGTTGGATCACGTACTAGTCTGTTCTGTCAGCCTTAGATGGCCGTCTACATCAGGTACTAGTCTGTTACCGTCGGTGGCTTACAGAGCATCGTAGATGGCGAGCTTCTTACCGCGACAGCATAGTGAATGCACAGCATAGGTAAGCAGGTTTCAAGCTACCCGGCTCATATGTAATCGTGATAAAAGGGTGCAAGTGTTTTGAGGACAACATAGCTTTAGTTCGCAGATACACACCACTTTTTTGCCAGCTATGAGCTGCAACATGCCAAAAAGGGAGGAATTTATGCAGTGCAATCTATCGGTTCTAGCCAACTTCAGATTGCTCGACTCGTTTTTATACAATGTTCAGTATGGACAGCTCTAGGAAATGCACTTATTTAGGTTATGTCATTTCCCGTTTTGGCTTTCTATGCACTGCGACCATGTGACGAGACAAGTGTAGACGGGTGCGATCGATCTGACCAAGCACCAGAATTTTCTGCCTTTTATAATGTATGAGCGTGACATCTGACGCCAAAGAAAGCAGCCCGAAATCGGGCTTGGTTAAGAAGTGAGGACTTGTGCGCCTAATCGACAGGCATATCCTCATGCTTTAATGTATGAAAAAGGTGCCCAAACATTGCGCCGACCACTGGCTTTGGTTAAAGCTGAGGTGACTAATACGACGTCTTTATAGATGCGGTTCCACTTTTCGCATAGAAACAACGCATGGGCGAGGCCATTCGGCAAATGCAGTCCACAGCCAGTCAATGGGCTATTGAAGTATTGAAGCCCAGTCTGGACACCATGGTCTGTGCTGAGAAATGCACAAGCGCAAGTGGAGACAATATACGCACCAGTTGCCTTTCCTGGAGGTAAAGAATACTAACTGGCTTCGAAAAAATGAAGAGTCGGCAGGTGAACTCGAAGTATATTGTCGTGACGGCGATGCGTCGGTTTTCATCGACAAAAATGCCGTTAGCCGGAAGTAGGCCCTCCTAACTCCATCAAACAATCGTCGAGCGCTATTGTCGTGGCTTTCTAGTAGTAACACATCATGCAAAGACATTCATGTGCAATAGAAATATGAAAGTCAATGGCAAAAAGCAGATAGGACAAGTGGTACTTAATTGGACGTCGCGGTTGCAATTATGCCTGAGAAGCGCATGCTGCATATGCGCGTGATGGACGACCCACTGGCTTTTCAACAATTTTCACGACAAAAAGCTGTTCGTCACTGGCGCTCGCGCGAGCACTACCCGGCACAGTGAACTGGATCTATCAATGCACCACCGCCGGAGGAGCGACTGATGCTGGATACGTCGAGAAAGTGTACAGTGTAACCTAGCAAACGCTATTGCAGTACCTTTACATCAAGAATCCAGATCACGACTCTGCCGACTCGAGCAGTATTTACTTCGACGACGGGCGTGCTGCTATTACCAGAGTCTTCAAATTCTTTACAACGATTTTGCAGCTTTAGACAAACGCTACTCCATTTATGCGATATGGAATCTTGCTGCTGCAGAAACGAGAGTATCAGGTCATGCATGTCCTCGAACAAAGTCGTCGACAACGTTTGGTTTCTCGAGAACGAGCAGTAAGCACACGACAAACAAGTTTCCCAACACTTACATCGTGAATGTGACGCAGGATGTGGACAATATATTGTTGAAGATAAAGGCATCAAGTGCGAGGCTGGCGGACAAGCCCGATGCCACCATCTCCTCGTTCTTCGACGCGGCGTAAAAGTCCATTGCACAGGCGGGACATTAATCATGATTGTGCCTCGACAGAAAGCGCGGCACTACGGCCATCTTACTGTTTGAAACATTCGTCATCTTGTGCATAATGGGTGCGTAACATTGGTCGCTAGCGTAAGCTTCCACTTCTGGTGCGGCGAATCGGCCCGAACGAAGGGTTTCTAAACGCACTGCTTTGTAAAGAGTGGTTATTGTTTTACCTCAAGAGCAAGACAAAGGTTTATCCCATGGAGAACGGGAGTGTGAAAACGGTAGGACATCATGAGCTTAGAATGACTTGTTCAATTCCAAGACGGCCACTGCTGCGTCATGTAAATGGGTTGTCTACGATGTAGCTTCAACTTGTAAGCATTGATGGTCGCAATTTCTCAAGCACTGAGACATGTACAACATGTATCGTATGCGCATTGTATTAAAAGAAATTTATCTTACTGTGTAAGACTAGATGTCGTCGCAGTTCCGATACATCCATACATATTATATATATATGGGCAAGAAAATATATACTCTCTGTGACTAGTAGTGCTCGTATATTTACAGCGCTCTAAAGAATTGTAACTGCTATCCCTGTCAAGTTGATGCTGTGCACAAATGCTTCCAAAATGAGACGGTCAGCCGCTCCCACTTGGTTTGTTTATGCACAAAGAGCCGGAGCGGCTGCTGTTTATTCGAAACAGGTTCAAGCTGCATGTTCCGATATATATGTTTGTACAGGTATTTATTTAAAATCACAAGTATTTTTGTATGGTATTCTCCAAGTTCTTGTTCTTCAACTTTCCGTCTCGCCATAAATTATTAAATGTAACAGGACAACCCATCCTAACTGCTTGGCCGTGCTTTAACATACGAGTATACAAGTACAGTCTGCATATGACGTGACCGCTGCGAGAATTCCGGATCTCTTGCTTGTGTTGTCTCTCTGTGTACGTGTGTGTGCGTATTTCTTTCTGTCTCTAAGTGCATTCGACCTCCTACGCAACAAGACGAGAGTAGAAAGAGGCAGTTAGGTGAATGCCCTTTGCGTTTTCACAACCACCACCCGCTAATACCGTGCGCACTGAGTTCATTGCTACCTTTGGTACGCTTCCAACATCTACTAGTGATATGTCGGTAGGAGACGAGAGTAATGGCACTACAAGTAAAAGTGCAGCACCGAACATTGTCGCACTGGATGTCGCTTGTCTTACGGATGAGAATGAGCCTGTGCAAATGCCACACAAACGTCTTGTGCGTCGAGGAGAAGTAAATTGTCGCTGGCTTTATAATCAAGTCCAGGCATCCCGTGGCATTATTCTCATTGATACAAGAAGAAGAGAAGAGTATGAAGAAGACTCCATTCCATCTGCAATCTCGATTCCACCACCCCTGACCGATTGTCATACACTAGAAGACGTCGAGAGTGGATTACTGGATGAACAACGGTATTTGTTCTCAAGTAAGAAGAGAAAACTTCGAGACGTGGTGCTATTTGGCGATGCGGTGAAAAAGACGTTAGTGGACGATGAGAATGATACGAAGAATTGCAGTTGGCTCCGAAAACTCGAGAGATTTATCATTGACGACGGACTTGTGACCAGTGTGAAGCTCTTGTATGATGGGTTTCTTACGTTTAAGTACAGGTATCCGTTCTATACGACGTCGGCGCTACTGGACAAAATGTCGGGACAAATGACGCGAACGAAGAGCGGGACACACAATCTCAACTACCCGAACGAGATTCTAGAAGGCTTTTTGTTTCTAGGCAACATGTGGCACGCTCAGTCCAAGCAGGTTATGTCCCATCTAGGTATTACGCACGTTGTGAACGCTAGTCTGGATGTGGGGAATATGTTTGAGAGCGATGGTGTGAAATATCTGAACGTTACCATTAAAGACCGACCGGAAGCAGACATTAGCTCGTACTTTGACACTGCATACAAGTTTATTGAGTCAGCGAAGCGCACGCAACATGGCCGTGTTTTGGTGCATTGTACGCAGGGCATTTCACGCTCGGCTACACTTATTATCATGTATTTAATGCGCGCGAACAACTGGTCTCTGGTCACGGCCGTAAATTTTGCGATGGCTAGTCGCGGTGTCGTGTATCCGAACCAAGGTTTTGTGAAGTCACTTATGGTTGAAGAGTTTCGTCTGTACAAGGGCAACAGCATCACCCCAGACGAGGTTGACACGATGTTGCAGAACCTGATACCAGATCGACCTGTTCCGTTGCAAGTGCACTCGAACAAGACAGAAAACTGCTCGCGTTGTCTCAAGATGTTTTCACTGCTCGAGTGGAAGCACAAATGCAGTTACTGCCGCAAGGCATTTTGTAGCAAGTGCACCAACACACGGCTGGCAAATCCGGAACGCGAAAAGAGTGCTGCTAGTAATGGTGTAGTGGATGAGCAGCGTCCCCGACGGGTGTGTCAGGTTTGTGTGAGCCGATTGTGGCAGATTAATTTGCCGCGATCGCGAAAGGGTCTTCAATCGCGTATGCAACAACGTTGCAAGCACCTGAACGTGAATAGCTTATCAACGTTTGGACGCACGGTGTGCATATCGTATTTTGAAGGAATTGAGCCCCAAGTGATCATGGACGTTCTTAAAATTCGGTTCGGCGTCAAGGAAAATCAAATTGTTGACATTTCGCGTGACGATGGCGAGCCCATTCGTTCTGTAGAGGAAATTGTGGATTTGCCGGACGAGGCTGAGGTGTTTGTTTCTGTGGGAAAAGCCGGTAACATTCAAGAGCACAGCCAGCGCGGATCGAGGCAGCAGGTGCACGGTGTTGTGTCTGCCTCAAAACTCAACAACAGCAACTATTCACGTTATCAACAGGAGCGTACGCGCCAACCGTTTCGGCGTGAGCTGCAGTCACCAAGAGACCAATGTTTCCGGGAGCGCAGCTCATCCGAGGGCGTTGTTGATACGCTGCAGCAAATTGAGACCTGTAGCCGTCACCCAGATGCACCCCGCACTCGGTCTTTCCAAATGGACATGAGTAATGTTGAAGCAAGCTCGGAAACACCTGTTGAAGACCCTGAGGTTGCAGAGCGCAAATTCCGTGAGCTATGGAAGCTGTCGTTCCCTTCAATGGGTCTCATCGAGCGCGCTGCATTACTCCAAATCAAGAGACCAGAGATCCTTATGGACGTGATGCTTGGTATGAGCAGTCTCTCTTGTGGCGCGCTCACACTCCAGGAGTTCAGCCAGCGCCTTATTGAGCTGGGATATGCCGACTCAGATCGCCAGGCCGTGATTTCTCTTTTGGACACGGCACGCCGCGCCACAAGCCGCTGAACTAACGCACTAGAAAAAGAACGACCAGTAGTGAAGAACCTTGATAGGATAAGTAATTTATTTTTTTGAAGCCGCTTCATTTGCTTCCACGTTACTAACTTGCCAATCTGATGTACTCGGTCGCGTGAGCTGACCAATGTGCCGTAGTATTGAACAAAGAACGCATGTTGCGTTATACTTTACCATGGCAAGAAGTAAAGGCAAGCGCACATTGCCTTTACTTCTTGCCACTGCTGGACTGTGGATATATGTACTCCGTGCCCTCCATCTTTATCCAGCAGCGATGAACAGTGAGCGCAAACTGTAACCTGGGTAGAAGATTGGTGGGACTTGAATGCCGAGGCGTTAGAATTGGCGCTGGCGAGCTTCTAGTAGACCCATTCAAAATTGTCGAGATTGCAAGCGCGGCACCAACCGTAAGACAGCACTTGTGTGACCAATGGAAACCGTCGACACCATATAGCAAGTGAACAAACAGGCACATGAGGAGGAACCCGATACTAGAGCCTTCATCCACCCACTCCACCCACTTTGGCAATCCTTCCTCAGCGCTATGAGGCCTAGGGAGCTTCAGTCTACTCCGTTGCGATAACACCTTGCAAGTTACCGAGACTTCTATTTCAGTAGGAAACTCAGCATCTGTAACTTCAATCCAGCAAACGCGACCTGAGTCCCAGCTACTCATGAGAGCTTGCGTACCAATACGACCGAGACCCCCATCTTGAAGAAGAATGACGCACGCTCCTCCCTGTGGGATCACACCAAGGTCCAGCTCTTCACCCCACTCTGTCCGTCGTTTAATCACCTTCTCCACCCGCTCGCTCTTGTAAACGACCGAGACCATGGCAACCCGTGGCGGCGATGTTTCCTATTCGTTTGCAAAAGAACACTTTTATACGTTAGTAAAGTAAATCCAATACATGATACAAAAACGACATGCCAATACATTGTAAGACGCATTTTTACGTACAAAATGAGAAAAAATCTCATGGTTACGTGCAAGAAGATTAGGACTGGGCAATGCCTCTGGAAAATAAACAGAATCCAAAGTACATTCACGTTGACTTGTCTTTCCAAAGCGCAATACCTTTCGCTGTTCTTCAATGGCAATCGACCAACTTTCACATGTAGATGCCGTGCCAATAGGAGTTCGCATTAAGTACAGCCGATCTTCCTGTTCAATACAATAGAATAGATAGATCATAATCATAATCATCATTATCCTCATCATCAATTGCACATTATATTACAAACACATTAATAATGTATAGAAAAAGATAGCAACAAACCGTGCAAATTTCAAGATAATAGTGTTCAACACCTTGTTCTACTGTGGCATAAGGTGTTTCATCTTCAGACATGGCACGTACCCTTGTAATTGATAATAGTCCAATCTATAGATATATATCACATGCCTCAATCATTAGAGAGTTATATACAAACTGCTAGCAGAAAAAACTGCTTACATGGCCACGTTCTTCTCCTAAGAGCTCCAATTCAGTCGCTTTGCGGTAATAATAGAGTGTATCGGGTGTAAGAACGAAGAGACGTAAAGCCCAACCACCACGCACAGCACCATCACGACGTTTTTTCTAATTGACCACAAAATAAGATACGACCATAGACGCCGTATCCAATCTCTCCAGGGCCGTTCATAAGGCTCATGGACGACGATGTCGACGCCGGCAGTGGTGGACGTGTTGACATTTTGCGGACCAGCTTAGTCTTGTGATTAGTAAAAAAAGAAAATATTGTAGAGCAAACCGGAATACTACTGGTATGGATACCGGTTTTAATACGTGCTTTCAAGACAGAGCGACATCTGTTGGGAAGAATTTCTAGTGTCAAGTGCGATGTTGTTCCTTGAGTCCGAGAACAAGATTATCAAGGGGGTGTTGGAGGGACGTATAGGAGAGAAGTGAGTGATAGTTGAGTGTATAAGATGTAGCTCTATCTCGATTGTTCTTTTGGCGAATTTTCTTACCTTATTCACAACGTGTAGAGCTCCTCGTCCCGTCGCACCTTTGGAAATCCGCTTATGTGACTTTGACGGTGAGTTGTAAACTGAAAAAAGGAAGAGAGATAACGAAGTAGTAGTGTATTGTGTTTGATGATTGTGTGGGAGGAGGGAGGGGTACTGGTAACTATGGACTGACGGTCTCAATGTTTACTGAATAGATGTGCAGGTGTGCATATCGATTGTGGACACCCTCCTGACGGTCTCTATGGCCTACCCTCCGTACAAGACTTTAGAAGGGTGCTAAGATACTGGTGTAAGTATGGAACACGCAAGAATTGCAATGCTGACTTGCCTATGACTGTTAGATTGGGTGCCAAGCAGATGTTTGCTGCGACATACCCAGAGTTCCAGCTCGTCGCTCCCAAAGCAGGCTTTGATTTATCCCTGCAGGTTAATGTGGACCTGATTACTCCATCCAATGCGGGTAAGTGTTATAATTCCTTTCGTCAACAGCGTTATAATGAGTGACAACTGACCTGGTTTGGTGTCGGGTATTCGTCGTAGCTTCCTTCATTGGACGTATTTCAGGACTAAAGCGCAACATTCTTGGCGCACCATTCGAGCAGTGCTTTGAGGCACTACAAAATGGCAACGCGAATACTCTCGGCCCAGTGCAGATCCCGTACCGTCGTAACGAAACGATCTACGTGCTTCCTCAGGAAGACCGTATTGTCATTGTATACTCGGTCTGTTTCGATGACAAGACCGATCAAGCCATCGCGCGTGTGTTTTTACAGGTACGCTCATACCACAACGTTGATATATCGCAACAATATCTTAGGTTGTTTTGCCATATTACTCCAGGAATTCGTGGACACCCGACGCACTGTGAACAATGCACCACCCGTTGCATTTGGTAAGGACCCGCCGCTTGAGCTTCGTGGCGCCCCCAACTTACGTAACTCGCCAGACCTGGTTGGTTACTTGAGCGTCGTAATTTTCTTTACGCACGTGGATACGACCGAGAAGCGTATTAAGGCGGCAACGCTTGTGCAAAGTCTTCGTAACTACCTTCATTATCACATCAAGGCTTCCAAGACGTACTTGCATATCCGCATGCGGAAGCGTGTGGACCTGTTGCTGCAAGGTATATCCATTGTGCTGTGGGTTTGGTTCATTGATTAATTGTATGTGCTCTAACATTATTATGCTTTAATTTAGTACTGAACCGTGCTCGCCCTGAGAAAGATCAATCTAAGATTCAAAAAAAAGACCATCACGGGCCGAACATTTGCTCGAGCTTAGATTGCAAGGACGACCGACTATTGTCACTTAGCCAGATTTTATCGGTATAAAATTGCAATAAAACGGCGGTTTTTCTTGCCATTTTTTGAAAACTTTTGGTAACTTTTCCCTAAACAATGCTTCGGTCCTTACGATGTCTTCGCAGTCAATGTAGAGCTTTTAGTTGTACTATTAAAACTGCTGATGGAAAGGAAGCTATGATCATAAAGAAGCAAAAAGACTTGCCGCAATCAATGACGGAAACAACGTGGAACACTCTAGTGATTGGTGAAATCGTAGACTACCATCCGCATCCGCAAGCGGACCCTCTGAACGTTTGCATTGTGAACATTGGAGACGAGGAAAAGCTGTTACAGATTATCTGCGGTGCCTCCAATGTGCGTGTTGGTGCACGCATACCAGTGGCCACAGTGGGCACTAGACTGGCTATCAAGGAACATGTGACTGGTGACCTGTAGGAAAAGTTCTTGGAATGTGTCAAGTAATTGCATGTGCAATAAGCTCAACATTTGTTGCTTGTTTTTTTTGTTAGAAAGAAACTGAAGATTAAAAAGTCTAAGCTTCGTGGAGAAATCTCACAAGGCATGATCTGCTCGGAGGCAGAGTTGGGACTGGCAGATGAAAGTGACGGGATCTTTATCTTTGAAGCCGATGCACGAGTGGGCAGTCTTGTGATTGAGCATCATACAATCGCCAGCCGTTTGATAGCACGAGGTATTTCAGTTCCTTCATCGTACCCAACGGTCGCTGCTTCTCTTCTTCAAGCAAAGACAGAGCAATAGAAGGTCAAGTTGGCATCACAAGCGACGTGTAAGGTGACCGTTTAGTAACACCGGAGAGCTACAAGTATAGAAAATCAAAACGCGTTTATTGTCTTTGTGCAAGTAAAATTGCAAAGCTGAAATCAAAAGGAAAAAATCGAAAGAAGTACAGACGATGATGATAAGAGCAGAGAGACTCAAACTACCAATAAAATACACACGAAAGAAAGAAAGCTAGCTGCCTCTGGGCTGGCTTGACTGACGAAACTTGACGCAATACACCACGGTAACACGGATAAGAAGAGTTCCATAGCACTCCAACACCTCGTTCGCTTTTCCCAATGCTTGAGTCAAAGAACTTGTGAGTCTACAACAGCTCTGGAAGAACACAAAGTCGTTCTTGATCAGAAGAGAGTGTCCATCATTACTTGGGTGTTCCATAGATCGGATCGGAGTATAGAAACATAAGCCCGTTTAGTCGCTGGATATGTTACGTTTGCGAAAGCACCTTCTATCTTTTCTGCGGCATATTGACGACACCGTCGAGAAACTCAACGGTCTGGTTACCAATTGTCACGTGTAACAATCCTGTGGGCTGCTTAATTTCATATATAGACAGCTCTACCGGCGTCGGAACGCCAGGTGACACGAGAAGCATCTCTGACTGTGGCCGCGACATATCCTTAAGAGGGGGTTGGGGCTGTTGCGGTAAATACATTTTCCTCATTATGGACTGCATATACATGGAGGCCGACGCGTTCTGGTTGCTGTACATGGGCGAGGACAAACGCATGGCGCTGGATTCGGTCGTGTACATGGGTTGCTGTTTGCTGAAAAGGTCCAAACTGGCACCCGGCGGTGCTACAGATGGAAATCTCAAGATCTCCGTCTGGTTTTCCACTCCGTAACTGCCGTATCGAAACTGCTGCATTTGAATCTGTGCTGCGGCATTAGTGTTGGATGTATAATGCGTGTGCGTGGAGAATGGAAAGCGCGATTGAGGCGGCACGCCACTGTATATAGTGGCCATAGCTACGGGCGTTGTGTCTGTGTGTCTGGCTCTCGAGCTAGAGAGAAAGTAAACTGCTGCTGATGCTTCACGAGAAGTCAAATGCGCACGTGCTTCTTCCGTTGGGTTCTTAGACTTTTGGGCGAAACGAGCGAGCATTGAAAACCGGCGGTTCAGTTAGAAGATAGATTTGGCCAATCCAAACAGAGAAGAGAAAATTAGCAAGAGGTGATTGGCTCGGCAACCGGCTATTTCTATACTCAGGAGTGATGGTCGCTTGATGCATCATTTTTACTGCGTCCCTCTCAACATTTACCGTACATTATTAATTCTTACTTGCAAATAGCTTAAAAAGGCGAGTATAAGTAATAGTCAACCTGATCTATTGTAGACCCTACAAAACATTTGAAAAGTTGAGATAAGGTTAGTGACAGATTATTGCTGCATTTGAGCTACGATAATTGCAGTGCATTTCTTGATTGAATGATATATAAATCATACACAAAATATGATGTACTTTGACGATAGTCTATTGCATAAGTTCGCCCTGTCAGTAGTACTTGATGCTCAAAGAAGGTCTCTAAATTGATCCGACAGCTATCAGGTTGGCAGTTTTTATAGCCGATCAGAACGTCATTAATGGTGATTCTTTAGACTATAAACGCGCTTTGGCTGTCAAATTCTCACCTCTCGTTGTTGAACGCGTGGTGTCATTGCTGTTAACGCTTGTCAGTCTCACACCGAAGAGCAGCCAACGGCCATGCGGCCGCTTTTGAAGGCAAGGAACTTCGTGATGAGGCATCAAGCGTTTCACGTGCCTATTGTAGCCGATAATTCGTTTACCTTTCATTTGTCTCACAAGCTCTTAGCGGGTGCAATGTGCGTGCAGGGTCTTGCGAGCTCTGCGCATCCTCGGCTTATGCTGCTTCACTTATGCTTCTCAAGAGGATTTTGTTGACTTAAAAGGTTGCAGTTTTAAGTTGCGTATTGCAAAAATTAACATAAAAATTACTGCTCTTACTACCAATAATTATATTGTAAAATTTCTTACTTGGAGCTGAGTGAACAAAACAAAAAATTACACAAAATCAAAATAGGTACGAAATAAAAGTCGTATTTCTAACTGCATAACTCATTTTAAAAAAGTCTATTATATCATTGCATTACATCCATTATTTTACTTATATGACTAAATCCATTGTAACCTATTTTAGCTACACAAACAGAAAACCTGACGACTCAAAATTTCACGTTTAGTGTCTCTTTTGCACAAAGGCCAAATTCAAACAAAACCTTCAATCGACTAACTTGATAGTTTCCAAGCCTATAGATATCTTTATAAATAAAATACGTAATGATTAATCCTTTTGAACACACGCATATTTGTAATCACGAGTGAATGAAACATGATATCCTCCTGCCACTCAATCCCTGCAATTGATCTTCGCGCATCATTTTCACCGGGGGAACGCCAGTTGGATCTACAGAGCTTCCCGAGCTATCGAGGCCCGTGTTACTATACTGCAGCTGCTCCTCTTGATCCAACGAAAGAAGGGCCGGCCCGTACGGCTTCAGCCGCCCGACGTAAAAGGTCGGGTATAGTCGCATTGTTGTAGGAATGTCGAGCGTCTACGCATTTCCAGTCACCTTAACAGCCATAATAGGTCCAATATAGGTGGAGCAATCTTGCTTGCGCCAAGGTTCGTCACAGCTGCAGTTTGGATAGGATTGTTGAAGACGGAAATTTGTGCTCAGAGATGAACAACATCCAGCGCACCATTCGCTGGCAGAGATGCGAGCTTTTTGTAGCCGTGCGCAGCGAAGCGTGATCAGTATATAGTGCAAACGTGGGTTCACCAATCAAATATACCCGGGGCTAGACGAGAGCGTAGTACATCGCAAGCAAATCTTTGACTTATTCGCTTAATTTTGCTCGGTAGGTTTAATTTCCTGAGATTGGTAGTTCATGACGCGTTTGCGTCATCGTGTTGCATCAGTGCGCATTAAACTAAAAATTGCTTGCATCACACACGACATGAAAAAACTTGGATGATCTGGAAACGCGAGAACAGGAGCCAAAGATAGTTTCTTTTTACGGCATCAGAAAACCTCGTGATTTCACTGACGCCACGCCAGCATAGCGTCATTCTTAAATAATTGCGATAACAAGTAAATTAATGCGGTGGAATCCTTTGCGTAGTGATGCAGGTACCCAGCTATTCCGCAATTTGAAAATAAGGTGGTAACCAGCTCTCAATTTCCTGTTTCAAACGTGTCATAAAAAGTGTAGTCAAAAAAATGCGTCACACTATTGTGCTAACTATTTTGGCGGCAATGAGTCATCACACCAAAAGCTCAGTGGTTTCGGACATGTGCCAAAGGAATCGGGAGACTCATTGAAAGCTGCCCAGTTGATCCTAGCAAATGTTAGACAGCACTTGTGCTAAGCTGATTTCCAATAAAGTGCCAAATGCTATCATGATTGTTCTGATCATGTAACATGGAAGTGCTACCACGTAAAATGCGGCGAGAGCTTCGTTACCTATTGCGCAAGTTGGGCTTATGAGGGAGCGTGAGAAGCACGCAATCGGATTAAGTGCTAAGGTCTACTTTGATTAATGTTTTATTGTTAAGGTTGGGTCTAAAGCTCTCGACTTCTGTGAACCATTAAAAAGGAGGTGTCAGCTGTTAATTGTAATGGGGTAAGGGTCCGTTATGTAGCTTACACTAAAGGTCTAACGAGAAAACGTTAGGGAACACGGTACCGCGAGTTTAATTAATATCAAATTCAACTCTGTTTTTAATTTTATAATATAATCCTAAGTACGAGTGGTCTCCACACTTCGTGGAAGCCACTCGATATAAAAGCCACATCCTATGGGCTGATGATGGTCCTGATTACCACTTGTCAACAAACAGGAATACGCACACGCCGTACCCGCTACATCAGGTACAGCGTATGCCAAATTATGTTATAATTATACTTTGGTAAGTCTAATTATGAAAGAAGCTGCTAGATTGCACCTAAGAACACATAAATCAGGAGGTACGAGAGAAATCTCAACGGGTGTTACGCGCGTATCCATCGAGTCAACTAACATGAATGTGAAAGGTGACTCTTCACCAAAATCAAGAGATCGTTCTCGCACACGTATTCCTCCAATATCGCGAGCTGTCGACACTCGCAATCGCGTTCACCTCACGATCGTAGGCTTTCACAATATCTGGAACGTCTGCCAAAAAGTGTCGTGCGTGGTTCCCACGAGTCGCTATCAAAAGGAAAACCGAGTCAGCGCAGGCTGCCGGGGAAAGCGTGAGCAACGCCACGACCGATCTGTAACGGGTCCCTATGGTCGAGAATACGCTCAACCCGCCAGAGCCGATTCCCGGCGCTATCATTCAATGGTGGAGGACCCTCACGCTGAATTTTTACAAGTGGCGCAGGACTTGCAAATCTTGCGCCAAGCCCAAACCAAGCACTCGATTAGCAGCTTCAGAAAATCTATCAACGGTTGACCTTCGTTGACCATGATGCAAGTCAAGCGCGTGTTCTAGTTTAGGCTGCAGAGAGCCTATCTGAGGCTGCGAAGAGGTAAGCTAAAGAGACTTCGTCTGCGATTGCTGGATTTGCACAGTGTTTTAAGCGTCTGAAATAATCAAATACCGCTCTAGGTCTAGACAACGCGGTGTTTTGTAGGCTGCGCCAGCCCGGTAAGACGTTATTGGGGACCGCGGTATGCACCGCATTAGTCAACCGTCGTCAAAGAATAGCCGGCATAACGCTTAAGACGGCCAACGTAGAAGGTTGGATGGAGACGCATTGAAGAAGGAAAATTCAGTGTGTAGGCATCATCCTTGACTTGAGTGATTTTAAAAATTGGACAATAACGGGGCTGTCGAAAGATTGAAGGCGAGAGGTTGCCTGTGGCAACAAGCAATTGTTTGGAGTGTACTATGACCTTGCGTTTGTGCTTTGATGAAGCTTAGCACGATGAAGGTGATACTTGTGCTCGTGATGCGTTGAGGAGTGCCGACAAGGCACGGAGATATCCCCAACGCTTAGTTAGAGGCTAACAAAAAGGAGCACTTGATAATACACATATAGATTCCGCAGGAAATGGATAATCCTTGCACTACCTTAACAGAGCTCGAGGTAAATGACAAGACAAGCTAGCTCTTCGACTGATGGAATCCCTCTACGGGCTGAGGCAAGTGGAGTGTTCGTGGAGTCAGACCTGGGTATGGTCACATCAACTCACCAGTGAACCCTAAGTACAGCCACACCACAATGGTGTGGCAGGTGTGTATTTAAAATCCACACCATGTGTAACCAGGAAATATTAAGAAACGATAAAATCGATAGCACGTACAATTTTTCGCGACGTACTCAACAAAGACCAACATGTATGAATACACGCGACTGCACCAACATCGGATGGTGGAGATCTGGAGTCCGCATGTATTCCGTCGCGCAATAAACTGTTCGAAAAGTCTTTGTACGGAAAACGGCTTTTTGTAATAGCGGATCCACTTAGAAAGATGCACTACCTTAAAATGTAAACTTGCATGTGGCACTGGTTTCAACTACTGTTGATGACATTCTAACGTATATTATTCGCGTTTGAAGCTACGTCGTACCACTCACGCAAGGCATAGACATTGAGCACAGCGGTCGCCTTGTCAATTCAACGCCGAGCCGAGTAAATAATGCATTACTCGTCAGTGACGCAGCCTTCCGAGGCAGACTTTACGTTCTTAATGAATTTGTATAGCGTGCCACGAGTGGCCTTGAGCAGAGGAGCAACCCACTCCTTCTTGCGCTGCGCCAGCTCGTCCGAAGACACGTCGATGAAATCGATGCGGTTCTTCTCAGCGTCGACCATGATCTTGTCGCCGTTCTTCACGAGCGCAATCGGGCCACCAACCTGGGCCTCAGGGGTAATGTGGCCAATGATAAAACCGTGTGAGCCGCCTGAGAAGCGGCCGTCCGTAAGCATGGCAACATCCTTGCCCAGACCAGCACCCATGATCGCAGAAGTAGGCGCAACTAAACAAAATCAAACAAAGTAGATCACGTCAGAACACGATAAGTTCAGCATTGACATCAACAGAACCACGTACGCATCTCAGGCATGCCAGGTCCTCCCTTCGGACCTTCGTATCGAATGATAACGACGCTGCCTTTCGTGATCTCTTTATTCTCCAAGCCAACCATCATGTCCTCTTCGCAGTCATACACCTTCGCTGTGCCTGTAAAAACAAGGCCCTCCTTGCCGGTAATCTTAGCCACCGAACCCTCCGGTGCCAGGTCACCGCGCAAAATACGCAGGTGGCCACTAGACTTCAAGGGGCGGTCCACCGGGTGGATAATCTCATGGTTGTCCGATAGATCAGGCACATCTGCAAGATTCTCGCCCAGCGTCTTGCCCGTTACAGTGAGACAGTTGCCATTAATGAAGCCTTGGTTCATCAAATACTTAAGAACTGCGGGGGTGCCACCAACGCGGTGAATGTCCTCCATCACAAACTTACCGCTGGGCTTAAGATCAGCCAAAAATGGCACACGCTCACTAATCTTTTCAAAGTCGTTTATATCAAGAGGAAGGTTCGCAGCACGCGCAATTGCGATCAAGTGTAGTACGGCATTAGTGGATCCACCCAGGGCCATCGTTATTGTAATCGCATTTTCAAATGCCTCACGACTCAAAATATCAAGCGGCTTGATATTCTTCTCAAGCAGCAATTTCATCGCCTTACCAGCGCTAAGGCACTCATTTTGCTTCTCAACCGAATCAGCAGGGAAGCTGGACGAAAATGGCAGACTCAAACCCAGCGTCTCAATGGCCGTAGCCATAGTATTAGCTGTGTACATGCCACCACAAGCTCCAGCACCAGGACAGGCGTGGCGGATGATGTCGTGGCGTTCCTCCTCCGTGATTCGTCCAGCGATATACTCACCGTATGCCTGGAAAGCCGACACAATGTCCAGAGCCTCTCCTTTCGAGCTGCAGCCAGCACGAATAGTACCACCGTACACCATCAGCGATGGGCGGTTCACACGAGCCATGGCAATTACACACCCGGGCATGTTCTTGTCGCAACCAGGGATACAAATATTGCCATCGTACCATTGACCACCCATCACCGTTTCAATCGAATCAGCAATCAAGTCACGAGACTGCAAACTGTAACTCATACCGTCCGTACCCATACTAATACCATCGCTCACACCAATAGTATTAAAGCGAAGACCCACAAGGCCTGCAGCATTCACTCCCTTCTTTACTTCACCAGCTAGATCCAGTAAATGCATATTACATGGATTTCCCTCCCACCACATGGAAGCAATACCTACTTGAGGCTTTTCCATGTCTTCCTCGGTCATACCGGTAGCGTACAGCATTGCTTGCGAAGCACCTCGTGCCTTGGGCTGGGTCACTGTAGCGCTATAGCGGTTGATACGTACACCGTCGATGGCCTTAGGTACATCATTTCCAGCAGTAGCAAAACTCCGATGTAACAGCATCGTACGTAGAGGTAAAGACGAGATGCCATTGCGCTTTATTATTATTGTCTTGCGCAACATAATATGTTATTGTTGAATGAATGGCTCAAAAACAAAGGAAGGTTGATAAGGTTGAATGAAAGAGTAATGGTATTGTAAAAAACTTGTTTGGCCAAACAATAGATCACGCGGATTGGTAGAAAAAAAACGATAAAAAGTATCGTACCTTACTTTTCGTAACTATGTGTATACCGTATTGAAGTCAAAAAATGAACCTACAAGAACTCAAAGAGATAGAGTTGACAAAGAATTGCACTGCTCTGATTGTAAAGCTACTCATGGATATATGTGGCTTACGTTCGTGATTTATCGATAGCAATTTTAATAACGACAGCGACGTTATATTGAATCTACCAGTATTACTTCACTGCTCTATGATTATGCTTATGCTGATCACGGAAAGGATAGATCGAGGGCCGGACGAAAAGATGATGAATGGAGGCGTTTGGCTACAGATAGATGGTAACATCTGTATTATATACAGGGACGATATGTAGCAATAGGATCGGTTGCAACTCTTCTCATAGCATACAGATGAAAACATTTACGGCTGTTTTTATAATCTCTTTAGCAAGGTGCCTAGGCAGTTTCTACTGTGCAGCCGCAACCTAAGATTCTCGAAGCATGTGCGACAGTAGTGGTCAGAAGCGTATCACGCTGATACGTTTGCTCACACCTTGCACAATTGCCAAAATTACTTATAACAGTTCCGCTCTACGAAAGACCATCAGCTCGATTATTTTGTAAGTCCTCTAGGGCTACTTATGGGCGTAACAAGCCTTTGCGTCTATAGCTAAGCCGAGAGCGCAGAGTAATGATTGATCGTAGCAAAAAGCATGATCGAGATTATCGACTCCACCACGCTGGAAAGCAACAGCTTTATGAATCTTGGAGTGTTGGGCCGATGCTTGAACAGTCAGTACGCACCCAGGTAAAATAGTCGTGCGATAAGATGGACAGCAAAACATCCGAAGACGAAATAAGGTGGCTCTATTGTTCGCGCAAACACGCAACAATCTAGCTCAATTTGTATGCGGTTGATGATGTAACATTGCAATCTGTGCGCACGGGAAAGGTGCATTGTGAAACTAAAAAACCGTCGACCATCCCTGTTTCAGGTAAATACACATCAATGACGCGGCTGCAACAGCTCCAAGGACCCAAGCTGGCAGAGCAACATCGTAGTATTTGCTTTTCTAGCACAAAAATATCAAACCTTTTGCACATGTGCAATCTGACTGTTACTTACAATTCTCCGCAATCAGCAATCGCGACTTCATTCTCCGGAAGAGGGCAGTTATTTTTGGGGCACACCTTTACATTCTGCATAGCATTTACAACATCTAGTCCATCAATCACCTCACCGAAAACCACGTGCTTTCCATCCAAATTCGTAAGTCCTGCTTTTGTCGTGATAAAAAACTGCACGTAACCAACACATAATGAGGCAACGAAACGCGACACATGAACTTGATACTGTTACATGAAAAACAATAAGAATTCATACCTGTGAGCCATTTGTGTTCTTGCCTACATTGGCCATTGACAGCAGCCCAACATCGTCGTGAGGTAAGAATTTTTCATCCTTGAAGTTTCCCCAGATATCCCCTTGCAAGGTACCAGAATAAATACTTTGTCCCCCCGTACCGTCTCCCTTCGTAATGTCTGGCACACTCATAGCATAAGCAATTAGCACTTAATGTACAAAGCCACAGAATGCACGTTTTCGTAGCTATACCTCCACCTTGAACCATAAAATTCTTAATAATGCGGTGAAATTTACAGCCCTTTAAACCAAGGATCCCGCCCTACATGGAATCAATAAATATGATAGCTACCAGAGATATGAAAGCGCAAAGTACTGGTACCATACCTTTTCCCCTGTACAAAGGCAACGGAAGTTCTCTGAAGCAAGTGGTATTTCATCCTTCAAAAGACGCATGACGATTCTGCCGACTGGAGCTCCAGCGATCGAGATATCCATGTAAACAGTAGGGTCACTTTCCTTCGTGATAAACCTCTTTTTGCGTTTGCAAAGACTCAGTCCAGCGTCGGCTACATAACGTTCTTGTAGCTTTTGAAATAGCTCATCTTCGCGACCACTGTACGTCTCGAGCATCTGGTCGATTCTATTTAGCTTGGTGGGGTTGTACTTCGTATAAAACTTCACGAGTCGATTCCTAAAAGCGGTGTGAGGCTCCTTAAGCAGTAAAACGCTGTCACTCGCCTTTGCATCTGGAGTATTCTTACTAGTAAGTTTAAAAAATTTTGAGCCTGTGTTATTCAGGCCGGAATTTATGGAAGATTCGTTGCCTTGTTTCAGCAACTTTTCTGCAAGACTGCCTTCTACTCGGTCTCCCTTTCCATGCATAACAACTTTCAATTCATCAATTTGGGCGGCTTCATTTACCAGCACTTGGTGTCGGATGCACCAAGATTGCTGCGACCACTGTCGAAAAGCCGTCTGCGTGTCCGGGCCAATGGAGCTGCTGAAATTTCTCGAGCTGCTCGACAAACTGAGCTTCGACTTGTTCTTCCGCATCACTCGCTCGAGATCATGAAGCACGGGATCAATTCGCAATTTCTTAGTCTTTTCCCATCGGTTTAATGATTTTTCCCTAAATGATGTCGCCATCGCGACGTTCTTTGGATCAGTCATGACTTTCGCATCCGAATAGCTCCACTAGACCATTCAAGACCAATACAAACCAGTAACGCTCAAATGATCCGACAAGATGAAACGCACACAATACCATATCTGTACATTTATAAACATCTACACTACGGTTTCAACTGTCGTACACGTACGTTGAATAGCTGCACCGGGTGCCGCGGGAGATGATCTTCCGCCATACTCCAAGTATACACTGTATACAAAAAAGTATCAAAATAACTGACGTGTATACGAATAATCAGACTCCCTTCTGGTTCGCTAAAATAATCTTAACGTCAGTGATTGGTCAGATACAGCGATTGGCAGGGAGCTCTCGCTTTCCGTTAAAGTAACACTATGAATCATTTCCTCATTTTTCTTCTTAAGTGAAAATGGTGTTTGAAAAGCCAATTGTTGTCGACTGTCGCGGTCATTTGGTAGGTCGTCTTGCTTCTTTAATTGCCAAGGAGCTTTTAATGGGTCAGCACGTTGTGGCGGTACGCTGTGAACAGTTGGAGATCTCCGGCTCGCGTACGTAGATACATTGTTTTTGAACTACTAGGTAGTAAAGAGACAGAGATAGAAGAAGTGTACAGACCACACGTGTTTCGCATGATAATGCCTATGGACACTTGTGTGTGCGTGTCTGTGCACTACTTGCTCTATCATGTTGTACAGTAAAGTAAAGTGTCTTGCTTCGTAGAGATTATTTGAGTGTGGCAAGGAGAGCTGTATGTCGGCTGTATTTTACATTCCTCTATAGTCTGTCATTGATTCAATGACCTTATGACTTGTTTGTCGCCGATTCGTTCTTTGGCTGCTACACCGCTTTGTTCCACATTTAACTTTTGCTGCAAGGTAAAAAACAAAGATGTGGAACGTGAAAATTAGTAATTGATGTAATGGCGTTGAGTAGCCAGCCAAAAATAAATGAAGCCGAACAGCATTGAAAGAGGGTCAAGACAGATGAGGAATAGACGGATGCAATCGTTGCAAACCTCTTCAAACATGCAAAAGTCGCTGCGTGCAGACACCTTGCGGAACTGCACAACATTGTTGTGTAGTGAAGCAGCGGTGTGTCATGCCGTCTGTGTGGTTTTGAGAACAGATTACTAATGTGATCTACTCTTGTTTCCACCTTCATAACAGACGTGCGCAACAAAATCAAGTTTCTTCAGTTTTTAAACAAGCGTACGGCCACTAACCCCAAAAAGGGTCCCGTTCATTACCGTGCTCCATCGCGTATGCTGTGGCGTACAATCCGTGGTATGCTGCCGCACAAGACAGCCCGTGGTGCCGCTGCTTTGCAGCGCCTTAAGGTGTGTCAAAGGCAGCTAGCTTTGTTTGAAGTACTTGATCTAATCAGGAGTGGTTGTGTTTGTTGCAGGTGTTTGACGGTATTCCGTCACCATACGACAAGCAGAAACGTATGGTCATCCCTGCTGCCTTGCGTGTGCTGCGCCTGAAGGCCAACCGCCGCTTCACTGTCCTTGGCGCCCTGGCATCGGAAGTTGGTTGGCGTCATGCTGAGCTTGTGAAGCGTCTTGAGGCTAAGCGTGTGTTAAAATCCGATGCTTTCTACAAGAAGAAAGTTGCCCAGCAAAAGCGTCTTGCCGAGGCTGAGGCGAAGGTATTTGCCGACAATTCGGAACTTAAGCCTACGCTTTCCAAGTATGGCCATGCTATTTGAGATAGTGGTAGCTAATTTGCTAGATTTCTTGGGTTGCACCATGAAGGCAGTAGTAACACACACTTGACTCGTTGCGTCAATCGTTTTTAAAATATCATTAAAAACGTTGAGGAACTTTTACAAGGATGGTTTATCGAGAGGCAATTTTGCAGCGATATACAAGAACAACTCATTCTATAATTGGGGCAAGTGGCCCACGTGTTTCCTCGTTCAACAGAATTGATAGCTGACTACAACCCGTCGAAGGCGCTGAACTTGTCCCCGCTTTGCTGTTGCTGAAGCGCATACTGATCGTGACTTGACGCTTGGATTTGCAACATCTGTCCAGGACCTGCGAGACCCACATTATTTTGGCCATAGACTCCACTGCCGAGCGATGCTTGCTGCTTCATTCCGTAAGGAATCATCTGCATGTTGCCTGAATTGTACTGCTGCTGCTGAATCATCATCGCGTTACCCATATTTTGACCGTAGAGCACCATGCCCTGCTGCTGCCCCATTGCGCTGGTCTGCATCCCCATGGTACTTTGACTTGAGTATGTTGGTTTTCCTGGCTGAGTAGTACCAACGCTCATGTTCAAACTGGTGCCACTAAACGCGCTGCCATTGCCACTATTTGAGCTTAAGGAAGGAACACTCGCAGCAGGCAAAGCAGTCAGCAAGTCGCTTGTGTCAAGGAGGCCGTTGGACGTGCTTAACGACTGTGTTCACATAGAATAACCTGAGCTACCATAAATATTTCTAAGACAAGTAGCTTCTTGTACGCACCTTAGTGGTACTCGGTTCCAATCCAAGCAAATCAGCGTCTCCATCTTCTTTATTGCTAGCCCGGCGGGAGGACCGTGCATTGCCTTTTTTGCCTGCCCGCCGTCGAGCAGAAAATGACTCCGCACGCTCCGCTGCTGACTTGCGGTGGCTACCTGAGTCACACCGCTCTGTTCTGGTGCTCTGGGTCTTGCTGCTAGAAGATGAGCTCGGATTGCCAAGATAAAACGGATCATCCGAGTATCGTCCGGGTCTATTCTGTCCGCCTTCAAGCTCCGACTGCTTTTTCTTCAAAGCATACTCTTCAGATAGTAGCTTATTAGCTGCAGCAACACCTGACTCCCGTTCCTTTGAGGCCTCTGCAGCACGAACAGCGTCTGACATACCCGAAGCAGCAGTGATGCCTGTTGTCACGGTACTGACAGAACTTTGCGATGTGAAAGACTTGTCACGCTCGCTAATCACCGCCTTGAGCATGTCTTGAATCTTTTCGCACACCATATCAAACTGCGAGTTATTCAAAGTCTGCTCCCATAACAGCGGAGACACCGCAGGAATAATAAGTTTTGCGACAAACTCTGGACCTAAATGTTTCCCGAGATTATCATAGCATCCAAGAATGCACATGCATGCAGCGGGTGTCTTATCCTCTTGAAGAGTCTTTTGGAGGGTAGGCAGTACACCTTCAATCAGCAGGTCCTTGTCAAACACGTGGAAAGACTTGGCCAGCCAGAGCAGTGCATTTATTCGCACAGACGGTTGGGGCGGAGTTAAAATGAGCTTGTTCACGCGCGGCAAAATCACCTGTTTCAAGATGCGGTACTCGAATAAACTAGCCTGGTCCACAATTTTGTTCAGCACTGTGTCGAGAATTTCAGGTACTGTGCTATCAAGCGCGCGGCAGAGCATGGGCACAATGTGGTCCCGGATGTAGACATCCTCAGCCTTTGGGATGAGCGTCTCTAACTCCGACACAAACATCAGCATGCATTGCACGGGCTCCGCTATCGCAAGCAACGGAACCATCATCGGTGCAATAGAGTACGAAAACGTTTGCTTGTCCACTTTAGCCACAATCTTAAGCAGCGGTGTGATCACGAATGGAGCCACAGCCTTGTTGATTACGACGGATTGAAGCCCTGGGAGGACCATGTCACGAAGTACACGCGGAGAAAAGCCATCAATAGCATCAGCTAGCGTTGTCAAAAACTTTGCCTGTGCTGCTGGCTCCAGCTCTACCAAACTTTGTAGCGTACGAAGCATCTTAATGGGACCCGAATCGAAAAACGGCGATGCTAAGAACGTACGAGCCTCTGGACGCTTCGGTGGTTCCAACGATAGCAATGAGCGAATCGTATTCTGCAACGCAGTCGGCACTGAAGACAGAAACGAGATTGGATGTAGAGACTGCACCTTATAGCTATAGGTCATCTTGTTGCCGTCACGCATATCAAGCACAGGATTACGTCCTCCATCAGCTCGAGGTGGTACAAATAGTTCGTATACAAGCAGACCGAGCGAAAACATATCCGCTTTGCTGTCAAACAGACGCGGTTCCGTCACCAATTCAGGAGCGCAGTATTCAAGCGGAGGTTCCCAACTTCCTTCTATGGCCCCTGTGACTGGATTTCTTACTCCAGTCGAGGCGTCAAAGCTATAATACTCACTGCGCGAAGTCTGACCTGGCTCGACAATACGGCAAAACCCCATCCCGCCAAGTTTCCATTCACCCTTAGGTGTAATAAAGATGCTGTGTGGTCCCAGACTAAGATGCACGCGACGTCCTTCGCGATGCAAGAAGCTGAGCGCTTCTCCCACGTGCATGAGGCCACAGGCAAGTTCAAACTCGGTAAGACCAATTTCAAACACCTCAGGCGTGACGTTGACGATATTAGTGAAGTTTTTACAGGCGTTGGCAAGTGAGCACGTGACACGTTCTGTGACAAAACACAATGAGCGGCGGCTTTCCTCAAAAACCTCTTCAACTTTAAGCACGTGTGGATGCCGTAATACACGCAGTGTCTTCATCTCATGACGAAGTATTTCTAAGACACGATCTTGTGCTTCCTTGCTCTTAAACCTTTTTAATTCTTCCTTATCAAAAATAAATACACTGTATTCATTGTTAGTCTTGCGGTGGATAGCAGGAAAGATTTTCCAGGATAATTCGTGGCCCCCAGACGCTGTACAGTCTTTTGGTGTCTCGTAATACTTTAGATACTCTTCACTTAGCATTCCATGCAAATTCTGCGCACCCGAGACGGCGGCAGATGCCGCACCGGACACAGCTGTGTGGACGACGCTTGACAAGCGGTTTAACATGCTCATAGCTTTTTATTCTTATTATTATTGTTTGACATATTTAAGTAAACAAAACTAACATTTTTTATACTTTATCAGTTAAGTACGACCCAGCACCTATTATGTGCACAATATATACTTTCAAAACCAATACACGGAGAATAACAAATAAAACAAGCTTTTTTATTCCATTCACAATCCATGAATAATTTCACAGTGTGTTAAGTCATCACTCGTTAAGCAGAGGTACCGTAGCAAAGCTACTTATGCACTAAGTGCAGAAGACGACAAGCTCAAAGAGCTTATATGTCTAAGGGCTCTTAACCCTCTCCTAGGCTAGCTTAACAAGCTTATGCCTTTGGCTGCAAGCACCCACGTCTCAGTGAGACCAGTACCAAAGATACACTTAATTTTACAAGGACTAATGCTCAAGCAAGTAATGCTATCAAGAGCAGGTTTGCAACTGATTTATCTAACTGTTTATTTTCTAGCACTACATTAAACTGGCTCTGTAGCCTTCTTTCAATATACACATATGTTTATGTGGTGAAGCGCTTCAAGAACTGGTTGGTCAGAGGACCGGTGGGTCAAAGGGAAAGGGACACGCCAAGAAAGAGCGACCATTAAGTAACGGACAGAGAGACGGGGCGCTCAAAAGGGACGAGGAACGACCGTTGGATGAGAAGAATGTACGGTCAAAGCGTGCTAGTTAGCCGCCATTCAGAGGAGTTAACCGCGGTTAGCCCGATGGATCGCAATTCCTCAAGGAGAACTCCGGTCTTTCAAAGTAGACCCAAGTCCATCATTGGTAGTCCTTGGTCTTTCAGAAAGGTCGACCTTGGCCCTTCGGTCAGAAGACCCTCGGCCCCTGTCCTCAAGGTCGATCTTGGTCCTTCGTCAATGTAACTCGGTCCTCAGTCGATAGACCTTGGCTCTTCGATCGAAACACTCTCGGTCCCTTGGTCTATTATTCGATGGACCCTCGGCCCTTCGGTCGATAGACCTTGGCCCTTCGGTCGATGGACTCTCGGTCGATATACCCTAGCCAAGAAGAATCAAGAATCAAGTTTCAAGGTAAAGATAGAGTAAAAGAGTTGAAAGGTACGACCATATTAAATACTACTCAAGTTGCAATCGATATAGCACAACTCCGTCGTGCTTCCAAGGTACATACTAAATCTACCCACTTGTTCCTGGAAGGAATATATTTTGGCCTCCCGTCAAAGACAGTTGTGTGGTAACACCCAAGAGCGAGCAGGTTACATTTGGCCTGTGAGTTCTCATGAGCAGCGCCTCCCAACTCAATCCGGTATCGGAAGCGGTGTCCCTACCCTAGTGGTCCGGGAGCAAGTAAAGGCCAGGCGGTTAACACCCCTGAGATATAAAGGAAGGAAAAGGCCAGAGTTGTTGAGAATCTCCCTTGAAGAATATGGTTATTAGTCCACCCTTGACCTAGTCGACCAGTGGACATATACTCGCCTACCGAGTGAAGTATATCCACTCGAGGCACCCCGAGGTTGACCTCTCTCAAGGCCGACACCACAGCTCAACCAAGTCCTCCGAAGAGTGCAACTCGCCAGCCGACGGGTACACAAGGTGAGAGAAGGTCAATACACGGCATTGGGGTACCCCTTCCGACAGTCGGCAGTCCGGCACAGTGAGTGGCTAGGAGTCTCATTACGCAGTTTTGAAAACCCACTCCACCACAATGGTGCGCGTGCCCGGATCTTCGGAAAGACGCGGGATATCACCGCGAGTCCTATGAAGATGAGAACATCTAAGCTAAGATTGAAGAAAAGACCGAAGAGTCACTGGATGACCGATCGCCAGTGACTACACAAGAAAACAACAAAGGATCGAAAGACCGACCGGACCTTGGGAGGGGGCCAGTCGATATGGTCAAGGTTGAAGTTATTGAAGAGAAACCGAAATATTTTCCCTATGTCCTTGTCGAGAACACCTTGGGTCATGATATCTATCATGCCCCAGAGGACAATCCGTTGAAGGTGCAAACCGATAGACTATTGTCCCCAACAACTACGAACATACAAAAACTACAAAAAATACGATCGCTATGTCCAAGCCGACCAAGCCCGGATGAAGGCACCAGGTGACACCAAGTTAATAGGCCCCGCGCGTAACGGGGTCGTAACGGTACACGCCATATCAAGAACGATATGGCATATAACGGTCCCATTATTATGCATAATTAGGTAGAGAATATTGACAATAGTACATAAGTAGGAAAAGGAAAGATACGAATAGCGTAACCTTAAGTGTGATTATTTGATTGGGAAAGTGGGGTTTAGCTCCATTTCACCCAGCTAATATTTGGCACGTATTCAAGTGGTTCACAGAAGATTTAGGATTTTAGATCTAACCTCAATAAAAATAACAGAGTCTTAAATAGCATTAAGTACGCAAGTAAATTGCATACTTCTTACGCTTCCTCGAAAGACCTTTAGTATAGGCTACGCAACGGGGCTCTCGCCCAGTTACACCGCAACCTCAGGACCCTTAACCTGGTCGGATGCTGACGTGACCATGGCCTATCATCGACTTAAGCTTGACCCGTTCTTAGAGAGTGACCCCGCCACCAAAGCTCTTGAGATCCGACTGCTGGGTCAGCTTTGTGGACCTGTGTCACCTTTCACGCTGAGGACGCGATCACCGCGCTCGTGACCTTTCTTCGTGAGGTGAGTATGTTCGCAGAAAGGTTTGAGCCTGAAGACTTGTTTTTCCTGGGGTTCAACAATATCAAGACCACGTTAGAGATTCTACACAAACGTCTGGGTATCCTTGTGGGAACAATCCCAGTACTACTCGACTCACCTCCTGCGACCGCCACAAAAGCACCGTCTGACGACAGCCACATGAACCTGCAAGATATCGAGGTCCACCCTCGAGAGCAATGGTCGACCGAGGACCCATGGTCTATGCGAGGTCTATCACAGACTACCCTGCCTCAAGGTCTTCAGGTCTCTGCAAGGCAAACATCGCGAGGGTCACCCGTCGCTAGTCACGTGGGCCGAATGCCACTAGGACCTACTGGCATGTCGCTGCTGCAGGCCCGAGCGGAGAGCGCGGACGACGAGCAGCGAGCTCACGAAACGGCCACGTGTGTACAGCCAAGGGAAAGTCGGGCTTCTGATAGGTCGAATCTTCAACCAATCCGAAATGAGCCAAGACCAGTACCGATTTATACCTCGTCACGTGACAAAGTTGCCCGGGGAGGAGTGCCTACCAACCCGGTAGGTAATTTACATGCATACTTCGGCGCGGCGATGGCAAAATTCTTACAAGAACGCCAATTACCGCCAAGACACATCGACGGAAATGCGGCCAGAGGATGACAGAGGGCGCAGAGGTCAACGGCTTAGCTGGGCCCAAGTGCAGGTATGCAAGTTGTAAGAGACCAGGGGATGACCGACGTGGAGATGGAATCGGTCGGGTTGTGTGAATACGACCCAGATGACATGGACCTCGATGGATCTCTGGCGAGAATGGCTAACGCCACTCTGGGACAGGTGCCCAACATGGTATTAAGCTCTCAGTGACCTCGGATCTCAAGGAGTTTCATGGTAAAGACCTAGATGAGGACCGAGCACGCAGCTGGGTGAGCACTGTGAAGACCGCGTTCACGAAGGACCAAGCGCCAGATGGGGAGAAGTGTCTCGTTTTTTGGAGGAATATTGACTGAACCTGCCCAGAACTGGTATCGTCAACTAAGTCGCTCTGTTCGTGGGATTAGAACGATTTGTTACAAGAATTCCAGATGCAGTTCTGTGGTTTGGGGGTGCCAGTGGCCCGCCAATACGGACACGCAAAGAAAAGGTCGCACGAATCCCCTTGGACTACCTATACCGTCTGAATGTCATTGGACTTCGAGCGAAGATCAAGATCAAGGATGGGCCGCCCAAGATTCAAAAGAAACATGTCGAACACTACATCGAGCGAGACCTTGGAAGATCCCGACCTGGCGGACCAGTTGACCGTGTTACGTTTGGCTGATGTGAAAGAGCTGAAGGATGTGCTAAGGGAGCATCAACGGGCGAAGGCTCGACGGGGCAAGATGTTATTTGGTCAGGCAAGTTTCGCCAGAAAACACCGATTACCCCTGATCGGCCAAGAGAGTTGAATCGCCGCTCTGTCCATGCAGTTCGAGCGACCCAGGAAGGATCAAGCTTCGAAGACTCCAGTTTAAACAGTTCAAATAGTGAATCATAACCACAGAGACGGAGAAGGACCTAGGGTCAAGGACCCCGAGGGACCGACCCATCAGAGAGGTCGACCAGCCCCGACTCGTGACCAAGGACCTTGGACCCTGCACGGTGTCGGCAACCTCGAGTGCAAGATGTGCCCATTGTGAGTCCAGGAAGTATGGAGACTTGGGTTGTTGATAGAGGCTGACCTGCGATCAGGCGGAAGAATGGCCATCTATCAGACCGTTGCCTGTTCGTGTATCGAAGCTGTGGAGAAATCCAGGAGGTTGGGAAGTGTCCGATGGAAGAGTGTTATAACTTGATCCGGCAGTGGTACAACCCGATCAAGCACGCTGGGATATTGCCGGAGAAGGTCGAGCAGATGTTAAATTGGGACGCTCGCCAGGTTTGAATTTTGTGCGAACCGAGCGTTTTAATTGTTGCTTTTTTTGCATATGTGGAAAAGCGACCCAACGGAGGGAAAAACTAGATGGAAAATATATCGAAGTTTGAAAGTTGCCCTAGGGTCCATGTTGCTTCTTTCGGTGCGTCTAACGCTTTAGTTTGAGAAAGTGCAGTGATGGAGTTGGACCTACTTCCGGGTGAGTCGAGAAGGTATTGTAAATACCATGCTCCAACGAAATACCTTTTGGACAGGCCAAGGCCTCTGGGAAGATTAACAACGATCGAGCTAACTTGTTGTTCAATACTGGCGCCGAGAAGTCTATTTTGGATATCGCCTTTTCTCGTAAGGTAGTCTGCCAGATTGATGAAATTGAGCGCCAAGAATGTGTTGGTATCGGGGAATACGTGTATAGCACGGAA